CAAGGAATATTTGCAGATCTCTGTGCCAACATTTATGGAAGGACTTATACACTTTTCAGTTAAAGGTTATCAATCAAAGTGAAACAACTCTATACTTTTGGGTCAATGTTGGAGAACAACAGTTTTAAACTGTGGTCTGCATCAGAATCACCTGGGGTAAGATACAGATGTAGTGAAAAGAAGGGCCATCTGTACCCCAATGTTCATAGCAGCAATGGCCACAGTCGCCAAAGTGGAAAGAACCAAGATGCCCTTCAACGGATGAATGGATAAGGAAGATGTGGTCCATATACTCTATGGAGTATTATGCCTCCATCAGGAAGGATGACTTGGAACAGGACTGGAGGAAATTATGCTGAGTGAAATAAGTCAAGCAGAGTCAATTATCATATGGTTTCCCTTATTTGTGGAGCATAAGAAATAACATGGAGGGCATGGGGAGCTGGAGAGGAGACAGGAGTTGGGGGAAATTGGAGGGGGAGATGAACCATGAGAGACTGTGGACTCTGAGAAACAATCTGAGGGTTTTGGAGGGGAAAGGGGTGGGAGGCTGGGTTTAGCCTGGTGGTGGGTATTATGGAGGGCACACGTTGCATGGAGCACTGGGTATGGTGCATAAACAATGAATTTGGAACACTGAAATTTTTTTTTTAAAAAAGGCTAAAAAAAAGAAACACAAAAACTCTGAAACCCAAAAGAAAAAAAAAAAAGAACCTGGGGGTATTTGTGTAAGAAATGCAGATTCTGAGGCCACACACCAATGAAATAATTGGGATTGGAGCCCAGGAAGTGGCTCCTGTGATCTCCACTGCTGATTCTAAGGCTATCCAAACCTAAGAACCACTCTCTAATATTTTTAGATTGGGGATTCTTACAAAATGACAGAGAAGCCAAAACTCCTTTTAAACTTAGACTTCAATAGTAGTCTATGACCTTCTTAGGGACAGTGTGTCTTTCCTACTCTTACACGCTCAGCCTAGAGACTGGTGCTGAAATCAGAGCAGGTAAGGAAAAATCTTTTATTTCTTTGTACACATTTTACTTTCATAGCCGCCAAAAGGACTGTGTTTCATTTCCTCTAACTGACCCTGTCCACCAGTTATGTTGCCCTCGACAAATTACTATAGCAACATATATAAATATCTATCGTACATTTATACACACGTACATGCCTTCTAAAGCACTGTCAGGACACAGACTAGGCTTTCCCACAACTGGGGCTTCTCAGGTGCCACTTAAAAATGATCACCGGTTTGTCTTATAGGACTTTCAATGGGCTTGGGCTGACCCTGAGCCCGAGTTCCCCAGAGAGGAGTTAGGGTGATGAAAGGGAACGGCGTATTCAGAGTGAGGTGGCCACACTTCGGAGATCATAAAAGAAGGGGACTAGGAGGTGCTAGGCTAAGCAGGAGATGGCACATGGGAAGCCACCGCTTTCACCAGTAGCATTCGAATCACGCAGGTGCCTTGGTGTAGATGGATGTCCAGCTGATCGATGGCCAGGCTAAGCCGGCCCCAGGGAAGTGTGGATCTGGGAGTTGTGCTGGCTGAGCCCCACTGGCCCTCAGGGCACTGCTGTCACTCGTGGGATTTGGAACGGTCTGAGGAGCTCCTGTGTGGGGATCAGAGGTTCCATCTGTAGGAAGCAGGATCCTGTGTCCCCTGAGCTGAGCATCTGAGTGCAGTCGTTGGAGCGAGGACTGGCTGTGGCCGGTTCCCAGGCCAGTGAGGTACGCAGAAGCATGTCAGGAGCTCCTCTACAGACCAGTGCTGGGATGAGCAGTCCCTGGTGGGTGGTGTTCCTCAGCCACAGGAGAGGCTGTCTTCCCTTCTACCTCCTCCACCAGGAAGAGGATGGGACCCTCTGGCAGGTGTGGAGGACTGGGCTCCAGGTCTCCTCAGCAGATTGGGATCTGCACCAAAGGGGGACAGGCCCAATCTTCCTGCTGTTTGAAAGACCTCCAGTGGCTCCTTTTCTTCAGTGGCTCCTGGAAGGCAAGGGTCACAAGACTGGGGTGCACGGCAGCACCCTTAGAGACTTCACCTGGAGACAGAAATACGACAAGGTGAGAACCTAGTATCAGGTTCTGCTTGTGGCTCCCTGAGCTGCAGTGAGCACTGGGCAGGGCCTGAGCCTGGAGCTCAGCGAGAGCCTGTCAGAAGGATGAGCCCAGAGGAGGGGGTATGGATCTGTGGAGCCCCTCAAGCCACCAGGGAAGAGGGAAGTTTCCCCACCACCTTGGGCGGGTGACAGCCCTGCTCAGAGCCACTGCACATGAGGTGCTCAGATCTTCACAGGCCAGTCCACTCCCTAGTTCACTTGGAGCAAAACGATGGCTTCTGTGACCTCCCGGGAACCGAAGCACTTAGTATGAAACATGCCCATGAAGAAACAGCCTGTTGTAGGAAGGAGAGGACGTGGTGCAGGAAAGTCCCCTGTTCAGTTCATGTCCCTTAATGTACTTAATGTACTTAATGAGGAGAGGGAGGGGCCCCGTCAGCAGGGAGCTCCAACAGCCCCTAGTGCCACCTCTTACAGATGGATGGGCCAAGGCCACAGAGCCGGTTAGTGACAAGCCTGGGATTGGAACGCAGGCCTCAGGCCCTTTCCATTGGTCTCCGGAAAGTGCAGAGGAAACTTCCAAACATGGGGAAGCCAGTGGGTGTGTGGGGCTATTGGGTTACCTTTGCTGGGACAGGAATAAGGCTTTACAGAGGCCATCTTGTATGTGTTCTTCTAAAGAGGCTCAGGAAAGAAAGGAATCATCAGAGAAGAAAAAAAGGGAATTAGAAAAAAAAAAAAAAAAGGTTGAGGGGGAGGGTAAAGTCATGGCCCGACCCATTTTCACACCATGGGATCAATAATCTCTCAGGCTACATAAGGGACATTCCCAGGAAAAGGTCCAATTACTTATGGCAGAACTTTAATGTCCAGTGAAGGGTTTAGTTTCTTTCCCTATTCTTTCTTAAGGAATCTCCATGGCTAGCGTGGAGCCCAACACAGGGCTTGAGGCCACAACCCTGATATCAAGACCTGAGCCAAGATCAAGTCAGATGCTCAACTGCCCGAGCCACCCAGGTTCCCCTAAAGGTTTAGTTTCTGATTTACAAGCTATTTGGTACACTTCAGCTTACTTGCTAGGAATCGGGTTAGTATTTCAAGTAAATGTACAGAATACCTGCCATATACACAAAATGTTTCCCTTCAAGTTTCATTTTTATTTATTATCAAATTCTCTTTTAGGTCAAGAAGACCCAATGGTTGGTTTCCTTTGGAAAATGAAAGATCAAGATTGAATGGCTATTCTCTGCCAATAGAGTGTGCAACAGAATCAACCAATTTGATGGCATCTCGGGTTTATTTTTTCATGAAGTGAAAAGCGTTACAGGAAACACTAGAGCTGGCCCCAGAGCCCCTTTCCTAGAAGCTAATTCAGAGGCATACTCCCCATGTCCTCTGGTCTTGGGAATCAACTCACTTGCTTTCCTCGGACTCCTGACTTGGCCTAGAGGAGGGAAGAAGTGCAGTGAGGAGAGAAGAGGGTCACGATGTCACAGGGAGATGAGATGGCAG